TATGTGTGTTTTTAATGTATTGGATGTTAAATGTTTCCTGAACTCATGGATTAAGACACTTGACTTAGCTTGAAGGATAAAATTATATTGAAGGGTATACAGGGTATACAGTTTCCCCTGGTCCTCACACTAATATTGTCCAGTCTGGTTTCCATCATCTGACCTTGTGATGTATGGTTTTATATCAGGTGATCATTATTAGGTGACACTGTAAGCTTGCAGTTGTGTAGTGATGTGCGGGTCGATATCGAAATATCGATTCCTCCGATACCAGTAATTTATGTTCTAGAATCGATTCTCATATTAAAATATCAATATTTTAGTACTTTGGGGTAAATTGGTCGTTTTTCCATTAACAGTTACACACTGGAAAGAAACTATATCATTCGGATCGTCTAAATTGGAAGGAACTACTTCCTCTTACGTATTTCATAGTCATATGCCAAATACGGCTGCATAAATGTGTTACGGCCCCTGGCATGCACACTCACAACAATGGCTGAGCGTAAACGGAGTGACGTGTGAACGTATTTTACTTCCACAAACAGCCAAGACGCGGTTTGCGATACATGTGGCAGGACAGTGAGGTGTTGTGGCAACACCGCTAACCTCGTCAAACACCTCAGAGTAAATCATATCACAGAATATGATGAGCTTATGTTGAGGCGAACTGAAGAGGAGGAGAAGGACAGGTGCTGCTAGGGCGAGACAGACGTCTCTCGCGGAGGCCTTTAGTGCTGCAGACAGGCAACATGTTCAATTAGCGCACAGCTTTAGGTTTTTTCATTTCTATATGATAATTCTGCATCATTCAGCAATAAGAACAAGTAGTCAGATGTCCTGTAAGCACTATGAAGCTCTATTATTATATTATTATTACAATTACATAATACAGTTATATATTGTATTATGAAATACAATGAAACACTAAGTTTTTGTACAGAGTATCGGTATCGGATCAGTATCGTCGATACCACCCTGAATTTTACTTGGTATCGGATCGAAAAGGAAATCAGTGGTATCGCACATCACTGCGGGCTGTGTAATGCAGAACAGAGATTTAGATTAGATTAGATAGAACTTTATTAATCCCTCGGGTGGGTTCCTCTGGGAAATTCGATTTCCAAAAAAGCACAGCACCGACAGAAGTTACAGAGTTACAGAATATTTATATATATATAATACACACACACACACACACACACACACACACACACACACACACATATATATAAATAAACAGAGACAATATAAATAAAATATACGAAGGGGATAAATAGAATAAATAGGAATAAAAAATAAAAATACAAGTGAATTGCACATTTCAAGTATTGAGGTCTATTGCACTGTTGACTATTTACAAAGGTATTGCACAGTGAGGTGAAGAGGCACTACAGCTTAGTTGTTCCCCCCTCCTTTGTCCTCCTGTTTCCCCTCCCTCTCCCCTCCAGAGAGGAGTTAAACAGTTGATGGCGTGTGGGACAAAGGAGTTTTTAAGTCTGTTAGTTCTTGTCTTTGGGAGAAGCAACCTGTCACTGAACAGACTCTTCTGGTTGTTAATGGCCGTGTGCAGAGGATGCCTGGCATTGTCCATAATGTCCATCAGTTTCTTTAATGTCCTTTTCTCTGCCACTGTCACCAGAGTGTCCAGCTTCATGCCGACCATTTGCACTGTAATCTGAGCTACATAGACTGATTTCTGTCAGTAAGCAGTATTACTAATATTCAGTTTTCAACTATTTTCCCGCTCTTTGTCTGACTATCTTATTGTGTTTTTTCTGCTTTTTCTGTCAGTTGGCCAGACGTTCAGTCCGCCAGCAGTTGATTCCTATGCTTACAATGCGTGTCCACCTAACCAGAAGTGACGGCCACAGTGACTACAACTCCAGGATTCTCCAGACAGATCCCAGCACCCTTCTGCACCTCATCTCCACACTGGAGGCCGCTCTGGCTGCCATGAAAACCAGTCATGCTCGTCGCATATTACGGAACATCAAATAATCCCTCTGTACAACGTGTGCCTTCTCTCACTTGCAGCCTTTATACCTGGGAAACATTAAGTAGTGTCTGTATTGTGCAGGGCAGAATGTCACCTTTCTTTGGACCTGGATGTTAAGGCTATATTTTTTTACTGGCAGTGTTTTTTTTATGCCAAGTTGTGATGTATGGATTGTACAGAAAGTTACTACAGTGCTGGTGATACTGAATTAAAGTGTAAGATACAGTTGAAACTTTATTTTTGTGGTTTGTGACGGCCCTGCTAAGGCAGACTGGAATATTATATAGAAGACTGTCATGACGCAAATGCAAATAGACAGCTCGCGCATTCAAAGAAAACTATGTGATGTGTTAATAAATTAATTTTTTTATACTGCCGGGTTGTAATGGTTTAATAAGTATATCGATGATTTGCTAACCGCGTGATGGTACATAAATCATAGATAAAAGTCGGGAAATGTTCAACGTTTTTCTCCATCAAGTCTTGCTACCCGGGCCAGAACTTCAGGCTCTGGAAGTTCTAGAGCAGGGTCTAGACCGCTACCTAACAAATGGAACGGAAAAGGAAGTGACGTATTCCAGAATCACCTGACTGTCGGCCCTTCACAGGAAGAAGGCTGGCGTATTCAACATGGCTGCGGTCTTCTGACATAGGAGTTGTCTAAAGTAATGCTATAGCCCGGCTTTCTTGATAGTACACTTGACTCCGTTCATTGTGTTAAATAGTTTTGACTCTGCTTCGACATGGCCCAGTGTGTCCAGTCTGTACAGGAGTTCGTTCAGGACTCGTTTGTCCCGATGGTGGCCGTCTTGTGCAGTGAAGAAGCTGAGAGAGTGACTCGCAAAAACAACCTAAATTTTGCGGAGCTGCTGAGGCCTTTTTGCAGACTTACGTCTGAAGGTATGAACAACTATTCAAAACACACCATCAGTCCCGTTTTCAGCTTCGTAGCTGGTAAAAATGAGGAAAAGTTGCTTAGGAAAATAATGAGGAAAGATGTTTTGCTGCTCGCGGGGCTACGACTGTCGTTAGCTCCTCGCTAGCAGACGCTTAGCAGTTTGGCTCGTGATTAAGCAGCTATGCCGATCGCCCTGCTTGTTGACATGCGAGTGCAAAGTGACCCGAGCTGGAAAAAATAGCATTTGGTCTTCTAGGACAGCGTTTCAGTCAGCAGCTGAACAGTTCTGTTGGTGGTGGTTTATTAGACCCAGCACATAGTAAACAAGCTAACAGACTTTACTTGGAGCACGCAGCAATTGTGTTAGTTGTCATGTTCAGTACAAGCGAAGATGCAGCTAAATGTGTTTAAGCTACATATTAAGTTTGTTGATATACATTAACATTCTTACTAATGTATAAACGAAATCTACAGGATATATACATTTTGTTTGATTTTTACACTTGGGTAATGTAAAATCCGTGAAACTATACGATAGCAGTTTAAATTGTATAGCTGAGTAAATATTAAAGATATGCCTCATTGAGTTTTTCACAGTCAACAATCAGTTACGTGCCATTACCAGGTTTGCTGTGTCTCTCAGCACAGTCTCAAGGGCAGGAGGAGATTCCAGGAGACAGGCAATTATCAGGGGAAGTTTTCAGCAGCAAAACAGTGGAAGGGAGATTGATGGAAACGTATAAGGCTGTGTCTTTGATATACCTTAGTAATCATTGCTGTAGTAATAATTTTTGATAAATTTTCACATTGCACTACTCTGAAATTAGTGCTTCCAAATTAATACATGTCACACAAAAAAATATAAAGCAACACTTTTTAATCTAAATTATAACATCAGGTAATCTTGTGGGATATCGCTCTTGTCAGTTAAGCAGCAGACGAGCTATTGATTTCAATTCAGTATTTATTTAGTGCTATTGCTATTTACCTGTTTGCTACGGTTGAGAGATTTTGCGCTGCATTCCATTTATGCATATTTCTTATAAAGGGGACACTTCTCCATCAGTGACATTTTTATGTATATTTTCTGATACTGTTTGAGTGCCATGCTGTGACTTACTCTTTTTTTCTTCTAGGTCACATCCGAGATCCCAGCAATCAACTGCAGGTTGTGAAAAACCTGCGTATCTGTGTCAACAATTTAGTGACAAGTCCAACAACAACATCTACGTCCCTGAGCCCTGCTCAGCGTCAGCTACTCAGTGATGTGGTGTCATCCTGCCAGCCCCAAGAAAGTGCTGTGACTAATGTGGTTATGGCAGGAGATTATGAGCTCAATTTCAGTGGTAAGGACTAATGCTTGATTGGAACGTGTTGATAAAATGTTAGCAATAGAAAAATATAATCATTATTATTATTATGGTAATCCACTATATTTGGCTGGATAGTCAGTTATGGACAATAAGTGATCAATTTCAAATTTTTGATATTTCTTATGAGCTTAGATGCAGTTTTGTGTGTGTAACTGTCCAGATCCATGATTAGAAATAACTGTACACCACATCTCAGAGCTCACTTCTCCTAGGTGTCGTTGATATGTTGACTTCACAGCTCAGTAATGAAAAAAGTACATCAAAGCATAACCATACTCTATGCTTACTCTGTGCTTCAACCTACTAGATGACTGTGTTAAAGCTAGCACCCCCTGGTACAGTGTCTGGAGAGAAACACTGTTGGAAATCAAAACCTCCAAGTACAGCTCAGGTATCACTATCTGCTAGCCCATGTGTGGATCGCTATAGATCTATAAGATGTGTCACACCTGTTTTGGTCCTTACCTTCCAGTTCCCTGCAGTGTTAATTTTGACAGAACATTTTTACTTAATTCTAGTCATAGTCTATTAACTAAAATGTAATTTAGTTTTAGTTGTAATTTAGGCATCTACATTTTTGTAGTTTTAGTCTAGTTTTAGTTGACAAAAAACTGATTAAGTTAAACAAAATTTAAAGTATACGTTCTTGTTTTTACTAGTGACAGTCGCTCTAAATGATTTGCAAAGATTATTATTTCCTTTGGCAACAAATGCGTGTTCATGTGTGTACTGTTTTTTTTTTTCTCCCAAGCATTCACAATTGTTCACAAGAAATGGGAGGTAGCTGAAGTAAAAGAGTTGCGGAGCACCGCCTCGTACCGTTTGTCCAGGGCAGATTAAACTCGAGAATGAAAACTGATAACATGGGTACAAAAGAAAATCTCAGATGAGTTTTAATCTCAGTTACCTTGACCTCAGGGCCACCTGAGAAAGAAGTCACAGAGGATTTTTGAAATAACATAGGTGTGTCTGCTAGGAGACTGAGGGGTACCACTGGATGCAGCCAGTTATTTTATACATAAATTAAGAATGCCGGGATTATAAAACTGTATCAGTGACTAGTTATTTTAGACATTATGGCAGATAAAAAAAAAAAAAACAATAGAGCAAAAAACTTACATGTACTACTTAATCACACTCATCACATAAGTGTAAAAGTGTAAAGGATTTGTGGTTAGTTACATTTTCAGATGAGGAAGTGTAGACTTTTTTTTCTAGATCAAACAGTGAGTGAATTAAGGGTATTTTGGTCAAATGCATATTTCATGGCCTAATTTGAGTGAATTTGTAACCGTTTTCTGAGTAAGTATAATTCTTGTTATTTACATTTGAGTCCTGTGTAAATGATCTTTTAATGTATGTCAGCTATGAAGGTCTAATAATTAGGACTGAAATATCACCTCACATGATGGTTTTACTGGTACATGTGGTAAAGGAATGGCATGTTCCACATTGGAGTTGTGTGATTAATCCACTGTTAATCCGGTGCTCTATGTGCATCATCAAAACACCAGATGAAGGAATAAATTGTTCCAGCGATTCTTAAGTCTTAAGGCCAAGACTCATTGAAGCTGCTGTGTTGACAAGACATTTTATCTTTAGTTTATCATCCATATTTTTCAAACAAAAACATTCAAAAGTGGTTATCTTTTAATCTACATGTAGTATTAGAAACTACCTCATTTTTCTGGCTTTTTTTTAAGTCTTTTGTCTATTTTGTCTTTTTTCTATTTCAAGTAACCACGCCCTGGTTTGAAGCCTACAGGGAGAACTTCCTGCAGTCAATGCCTGCCTCTGACCACGAGTTCCTCAATCATTACCTTGCTTGTATCCTTTTAACAGCACACAGATCTGACCAGTGGTCAACATTCTGTCGTCAGCTTTTTTTTTTTTAATAGAAGAGCTGACAAACTGGAATTTAGGATCTGTAAAAAAAGTTTTCCTCCTTTGTATGCTTGTGCTTTCTGTTATTGTATTATTAATAGTAGTATCCTTATATGTAGTCTATTTATTGTTGTATCCTTCACATGGTTCTGGCAGGCCTGCTAGTGGTATCATCCACTGAGGCAGCCCCTGTGGAGCAGTTCCTCAAGCTTTCTCAGGAGCAGCACAGAATTCAGCACAGTGGAGAATACACTAATCCCAAGTGGTTTATTCCTAACACACTCAAGTACTATGTCTTGCTACATGACATGTGTGAAGGGGATGAACAAAGGTACTAAAAGAAACGTAGAGTTCCTTTAAATTTCATCGACCACATTTTGATAATCTTTCATAGTGAAACTACTCCAGAACTTACAATGTCAAATGTTTAAAAATAAGTCAACTATATGTAATAACTTTAAATAACTGTTGAATTCATTATGCTCTAGTAAGTGTAAGCTGTTTTGTTCTAAAGTAGTATTCTCCCTGTATCTCCAGGGCAGATGTGGTTTATGAGGATATGAAACAGAAGTATGGTTCTCAGGGCTGCTATCTGTTGAAAATGAACTCCCGTACCTTCTCAGCTAATGTGGATGAACAGATTCCAGATCCCTGGAGTCAATACTTGCACAAGAATAATCTTCATAACCAGGTAAACATTGCAAACTCCTCCACATGCACTGGCTGTTTTAAATATTCCTGCAACAACTAGTGCCGGTGGACACGATTCTGCAGAAGGAAAAGTTTGTCGATGGCAGGGGAAAGTTTGTTGGGTAGACTACAAACCAAAAGAATACAATAAAAGCACAGGTTTTATGTGTGCGTTTCTCAGTTCACCTTGAGGGGTAGTTGTGACTGAATTGTGGACAGCCCAATCATTAATAGTACTTTGAACTGTTGCAGTTGCCTGATTGTTCAGTTTTGTTCTCTTTTACCAAAGATTTTACTTTAGTTCACATAGTGAACCTGTTTTTGCAGGATGTGTTTGATGATCCAGCTCCAACTGTGAACAGTGCTGCTGTAGAGACCATTATTAGCAGACCTGAAGTAGACGGCAATTATTCAGCTGAGAAAGGTGAGTTAATTTAATGCTTCTTTTGTAAACTGACTTGGGGAGATCTTTGCTTCTCTGCTCTTCAGTTACAAATAATCTAAAGGTCACCATTTTTTTTTTTTTATATTCAACTTGCTTGGCTATATTGCACTCGCAGTAAATTTTATAAATATGACTTCCTTTTTGCAGCTCCATTGTACCGCTTTCCATGTTTTTTAGTTAGCACTATGTATTCGCTGTGTTGGTCCTGACCAGGTTCTTTGCCAGTCATGCTAGTCTCGATGAGAACTAAACCCTTTTATTTATTTTTGGTGTAATGTTAACAAAGACCATCCTGCCAGTATTCATCAGGCTTATTGTTGACATCTTTGGTGGTTGAATCTTGTGATTTGGCACCAACAGCAAGAGTGAGCAGAAGTGAGCAGAAGGGCACCAAATCTGTTTGTAGAGGTTGACTATGCCGTATGTTTTATACTGCTTGAAACACCAGTTTCCACATAATCCTTGCACCAGCAGTAGTTACTTTTCTGGGTGCATAAATAGTGGTACTATTTTATATTATGTAAGGTTATTGTTATGAGTTTATATTTTACACTATTTCCTTGCAGATGAGATGTCCAGTAGCTTGGAAGGGCATCCTCTCCAGTTGGACAGCAGCATGGCAAACCTGCACAACCTCAGTGCTGTACATACGGACCTAAAGAAAGGTGCTAAAGATTCAAACAGCCCAGCCTGTGCTGCAGGTAGCCATGGGGCTTGTCTGACCCTGAACGACCATGATTACATAAGACAGTTTATCCAAGAATTCACCTTCAGAGGTCTACTGCCACACATAGAGAAAACCATCAGACAGCTGAACGATCAGGTACGACTCATTTCTTGACCCTCAACATATTGTTGTTTGTGATTGTGATGTGCTTCAGGCAATGTAAAATTATACTAACTATATTAACTGTTTTAGAGAATGTAGTTTGTTGAGCATTATGCTGAAACAATATGTATACTTTTTTCATATTTCTGCCCTGGAACTGTAAAATTAATCATAATGGCATAATTTGAGTTTATGGCTTGTGAGAGTACACTAGAATTTCAGTCAATTCTATTGTTTCGCTGACTTCTCCCAGCACTTGGAAACATGATTTGCTTCCATGTCCACAGCTAGTATCCAGGAAGGGCCTGAGTCGGTCTCTGTTCACTGCAACAAAGAAGTGGTTTGGTGGAGGAAAAGCTCCAGAGAAGAGCATCAGTGAACCAAAGAGCACATGTGGCCTTCTGTAAGCTCCACTGCAATGCACTTCATTCCCATAAATGAAACCCATGCAACACCCTGTATATTGTATGCAGTGCCCTTGACCCTTCCCTTCTGTCATACCAGATATCCCCCAGAAGCCCCAGAACTGCAGATCAGGAAGATGGCTGACCTGTGCCTCCTGGTTCAGCACTATGACTTGGCTTACAGCTGTTATCATACTGCCAAGAAGGACTTCCTGTCAGACCAGGCCATGCTGTATGCTGCTGGGGCACTGGTGAGATACACCATGATCTGTCTGCAGACCGTGATGATATCAGAACAACTTCTTCTGCCTTTTGTTGTAAAATCTCACTTCAATTAAAACTTTGCAGTGATGGAATATTCTGTTTTGTTAAGTGTCCTAGAGAGCAAAAAGAGTTGTATATGTGACCCACAGTAAACTTTTGAGGGAATAAATCAGAAGGAAGCTTTTGAACTCAGCATTACAATATTAAAAAGTAAATTCAAAGTACTAACAAGTTCTAGTACAAAGTAATACGAGTTCAGAACATTTAGCATTATCTAAAGTCAGCCGTCAGACAAGAGAATTAACCTCGTAATAGACTCTGGAAATGTAACATTATCGGTCTTTTAAAGTGACTACTAGCATTATTAGGTGTACATATCTGATATATTTGCACATTCTTCTTTTTCAAGATTACACTCACTACAGTGAGCTGACAGTAGTGTTGTATTACTTATTTAAATGATACATAGACTGATTTTTATATAGCGCTTTTCTACTCTGCCGGAGTACTCAAAGTGCCCGAAGTAAAAGATTTTAAACTGTAACACAAAGAATATGCCGCGTATGTCTATGTATGTTGTCAGTCATTTAGGTCATGATAATCTAAGGAGCTTTGAAAGAAAGCAGCTGGACGTCTTGAAGTTTCTTGAAGACATCTCACCTCTCATTCAGTTATACAAACCAAATGGTGGAGAGTCCCAGGAATAAAAAATCCTGGTGGGTGTTGTCTCTCAACAGCGTTGTTGACCCACTGTTGATCATGTGCCTCATCACATGAGTCAAGGTGTGAAAGAAGGCATGCGGGTCATTATCAGCAGAGATTTTCAGGACGTTGCTCACGCTGTGAGGGTTGAGGCGCCTGGGAAGGGATCTCACTGTAGATAGCAGACTCTTGGTGTTGTAAGCCATACCCTCTGTTCAAAGATGGTCGTTTACAGTGGACGTGTTTACTCATTTTTTAAAATCCTCTTCAAGAGGAATACACACATATAAAGAAAGCTCGTAAATCAAGTTCTTATCCCAACTGGGCCTTCATCAAATCAGCGTGGATGAACAGGAAAGAAGCTCAGAAACAAACTAGGGAGAAACAGAATAACAAACGCAGCACTGTTGTCATCCATTATCTAGCAGGTTTATCAGAGAAACTCAGGAGAACTTTCTCCAAGCATTACATCTAAGTGCACTTCAGCCCTCACAACACCCTCAGACAAAATTTGTTTCATCCCAAGGACAGAACTCCCAAACACAAACTTAACAACATAGTGTATGCTGCGCAGTGCAGAGTGCTCAGACTTCGACAGGACAAGAATCGGCTGTACATCTGAAGGATTTCACTCTTTCGAGTGGCTTACGATACCAGCTGTCTGCCACCTAGACTGAGATCCTTTCCCAGGCACCTCAACTCCAGTCACATCTTGTGTCAGATGATTTCAGTGGGTCACATGATAGGGTAAGGCAAGATGTCTCAATGGTTTCACCCAAAACCTCTGCTGATAATGATCATGTGCCTCCAAAAAGTTGATTCTGTTCATCTGAATG